CCTGCTGTGTCTGTCCCTTTGAAATGTACAGGAGCTGCATGTGGCTCTTTACATTTCAAAGGGAGAGGCGCAGCAGGATAGCAAGTGGGAAATTCCACTGGCTACTCAATTAGCTGATAAATATATAGTAGGGATGTTAAATTTCGAGTTGAGAGTTTGTCCATCTATCTTTCTATTTATTACATTTAGACCAGCAGACAGGTTTTGGGCTGATTTCCATCACCACTGTCTGACTCACAGGCACAGTGAAGTTTATAAGCATTCTGAACTGGGTTCTAAAGTGCTCAGAGAATAGATGCTGAAAATCATATGTCTGGAATTACCTGATATAAATCTGAAGTCAGTGAACCAATCGTTTGGATACTGAGCGCAGTAAATCATGTAGTACCCTTGAAGGAAACCATTATAGGAACAGAATAGGATGGCCAGGAAAAGTATCTGCAGTGGGAAAAGTCTGCTTCTTGTGAAGAATGAGTAAATAAATGTCCTACGGTAAAATAAAATTTTTAAAAAATAGTTAAACCAGTGAATACCACATATCAACACATACATAAGTAGATTATTGGCATAATGCTGGGTTAAAAAATAATGTAACATTTGCAGTTTACATTCGCTGACGCTACTCCCAATGTAATTTTTGTTTAACTCTTAAATGTTTTCTTTTAGGAAGCTTATAACAGGCTTACAAATCCTAATCATGCTAGTGATAATACAATGATCATTAAAACAGCAAGCTTTTGTTTAAACATTATACAGTGATATAATCAATGGATCTTTTCTTTTTAACAGGGTGTTACCATGTTACAGTATGAGTATTTGCAGGGCTCAACAATCTATTGAATCTACTCGCTCATGGTGAGTAGATTTCAGCCCGGCGCCCCGTTTACCAGCAATGCGCGCATGCGTAATGCAGCTCTTGCGCATGCGCAGTGCGGGGCTGGTGAGCAGCTTTCACCGCGGTTCGTCAAGCCCTGAGTATATATACTCACAACATGTCTAGTAACCGTTTCTGTATTGTTGAGGAACAAACTTTACCAAATGTGCTCTATGATAAAAAGTAAGTTAGACTACATTAGCATAAATAATGCAAATAGCTACCAAATGAGAACAAGTGGCATTAGAGAAAAGTATACTTTTCATTAAAATGGAATATTGTCTGAGCACAAGATATGGAGCTCGGAGCTCCTTGTTTAGACTCATTGTGACCTTGGGAAAGTCAGTTGACCTCTCTATTTTGGTTTCCCTCTTTATAAAATGGACACTGCACTTTCAATCAGCCCTCATTGAGGTGTTGTGAAGATAGACTGGTGTTTATAATGTACTATATGAATGTTAAGAATTGTTGACTTTTGATTCCCATGTCCCACTCAGAGATCAATGTCGGTGTCCACCCCCTCCCAAGCAGCAGCAGAATTCCTGGGCCTTGCAAATTGAAACCAGATGGTTGAACAGCACACAGGGAGTTTCAACAGTCTAATCAGAAATGATGCCAGAGGTCAAACTCACAGAGCTCTTTCTACTCAGAACCTTGTAAAACTAAAAAAAAACCCTACCATAAACATGTCTTCCAAGACCAAAAACTTACTAAAATAGTATGAAAAATTACATGGGAGACTGCAACAGCAGCACCTTAGATGCCTGCTATAGCAGTATTATCTTTTCCATTGGAACCAATCATCTTATATGTCCTCATTATTACGTATCTGGATGGCACCTTCTGAGGCAGAAATGGGCAGTACTTTTTGACCAGAGGCCACTTCAGAAAGTGGCCCTGGGCTGTCCCAGAAGGGGTGGGGCCTCAGGCGGAAAGGGGGGGGGCCAGGACACTTCCACACTTCCCACCCACACCCCCTGATTGGGGAAGCGCATGAACTCTTTGCCCCCCATCTCCTCCTGAGAGAACCGCCAGCTGTTGTGAAGAGCTGGCAGTTCCCTCTAGACTCCTGCTCCTCTGGTGGGTGGGAGGAGACTTCACATGCTCCCCCTGCTGCCCTCAGGTCAACCCCTGCCCTACAAGGAGTGTGCAGCACTTAGCAGGATGGGGGCAGGGTGGAAGGAGACTGTATTTCCCCCAACCCACAGGCTGATTGGTTTGAGGGTAGGGGGAGCATGAAGTCTGTGGAAGACAGCAGGGGCAAGGGAGACAGCTCTGTGGGAGGCAGCAGGGGCTGGGGAGGCGGCTCTGCGGGAGGCAGCATGGGGGGGGAGCCGGCATAAAAGCCAGCTCCCCACAGGAACTGGATCCTGCCTCCCCCCGCTTGCTGCCTCTCATAGCAAGGGTTGCCTCTCGCAGCAAGGGTATGTGTTTTTATATGTGCGTGTGCTTGCGTGTAGTCATTAGGATTTACCAATACACCTAAGCTTATCGATTAATCATTTAAACGACCATATGCTAACGTCCCTAGACCGAGCCCCACTTCTCGGGAATGAAGCCAAAGACTAAAGGCTTCAGCCCTGGGTGGTAGGGCTCAGGCTTCAGTTCCCGTATCCAGTCCCACCTAGGAGGATGGGATTTGGGCTCAGGCTTTGGTTCCCCTTCAAGGTAGTGTAATGTTTTTTGCTGTTAGAAGGAGGTCATGGTGCGGTGAAATTTGAGAGCTGCTAACCAATTCCCTCTAAGTCACCCCCCACACACACTTGTTACAATTTTATGAGCTATAATTAAGGTGACTGTCAAGGGGTGCCCTGGTCACGTCCTCCAGTCCCCCTTCTCTGCCTCTGTTTCCTCCCTTCCCCTCGACCCACCCCTCCGGATCGTGAGAATGTTCCTTTCCTTGGTTTCCCAGGGGTTACTCAGAGCGGAAGGTGAGGGGGGCCTGGGCCCTCCCTCTCTCCAGACCCCAGCCCAGGGCCCTAAGGTGAGGGAGAATATCTGCTCTCCCCTCACCTGGCTGACTGGGCTACGTGCTGCAAGTCATAAGCCCGTGGGCCTCCTATTTGCGCCCACCCTGGACTGCTTCCTCACCTCCACTCACCCGGGTGTTCGCTTCTTTCCTGAGGTCCGGAACTGCTTCATCCATTGCTCTGCCTGGCCTTCCCTGTACAAGTGCTCCTGCCACCTTTATGCTGCTGAGGATACCGCCTCTTTCTCCCCAGGGCTTGGCTGCGCCCTCCCCTAAGACGCCTGCACTGGTGTCTGCCAAGCCGGCTTCTCCCCCGTCCCTGCTCGCCCCGCCTCCAACGTCTTTCCCAGCACCGCCACCCGCGTTTGTTGGGGCCTCCCCGGGGCGTGAGCGAGGGCGCCAGTCAAGCTGCTGACCATGCGGCGCACTCCCGCCGCCGCCACGGTCTCTCCCGAGGTGGAGGAAGCCTTCCCTGGTGCGTCAGTTGGAGCACCGGCCAAGCTGCCAGCCAGGCGGTGCACTCCAGCTGCCACCGCTGTTTCCCCTAAGGCGGGGAAAGCTGATCCGCCCCTCTCTGCCCCCCGGGGAGGGGGGCTGGGTTACTGCGGGGTTGTGCCACCGCGTCACAGTGACCATAAGTCACATTTTGGCTGGGACGCTCCCCTTTTTAAGTCCTGTCTCAGCCATCCTGACTTTCAAAGCAAAAGCTGGCATTTGTCCCATTTGCTCTTGCCAATGGATCAAGTTGGCAAAAAACAAAAATGGGACAAATGCAGGGGGCCCTTTACCAAAAAGTGGCATGTGGAAGAAATGGAGGGAGAAGCAGCGCTGCCAACCCCGAGCATGGGGGCAGTCAGGGCTCAGCAGCCAGTGATGCCAGCTCCTCAAGGGGGAGGGGGACAGGGCTTGGATCATGTAGCCAGACAGACCAACACCCCATCTCATCCATCTTATTTGCCTTCCTGAAGCATACAGGACAGAGAAGGAGCAATAATATCAGCATAGTCTATGCTGGCTCATCTGATCCTGAGGAGCTGAAAACATAGATATGAGGAGAGAGCGATTAAGGCAATAAGCTGGCCTTGAGGCTGCGAGAACTGCCACCGGCTGGCACCCATGTTGATTCGAACACACACACAGTCCCTGGGAGAGGAATTTCCCACTGAGAAAAGAATCCCCAGTAATTCCAATTTAGTTCTCTCTCTTACAAGTGTAAATTAAGTTCACAACTCCCTTGTAAGAACTGGTCTCACAAAAGACAGACCAGCCCCATTTGGCATGACAGACAAGAAAGAGAAATACGTGACCCCATGGGTATATAAGATAGGTCCAGCACACACTCACTTTGAGTGTCATTCTACCCTCTACCTGCTGGTCGGGTTAGGTGTTTGACCTCCCGAGGTTCTATGGGGACGCCCACCTCGTATTTTCGTCTTTCCTAGGAATTGAGGGACCGGCCCTGGCCTGACATGCTGGAGTCGAGAGGCACAGAAGGGGGTAAAAATGGTACCTGGATGTGGTCCTCTGTCTTAAGTGTACACATAGAAAGAGTAAGCTGTTACTTGGTACCATTATTTCTATTTTTCTATCTTTATCTTCTTTGTAACCATTTTTAAGATCTATATTTTGCTAGTAGTTAAGAAATAGAGCAATAGCCATTGCAACCATATGATTTATAAGCTTCTCTAATAAACCTGTAACTGTTTAAGTTTTAACCTGACTCCTTCAGTTGCTGTAACAGAACCAAGCACAATTTAAAAGAACTTCAGCCGGTCTTAAGGGACAGATATAGGGAGCCCTGACCGTCGGCTGACAGGTCAGAAGCTCAGGACAGCCCCGAGTGGAAACAGGGGCTCAGGTAAGCAGATAGAAGATTGCATGCAGCTAGCCCCACTTTTCCTTTGGGAAATACAGTCATTCTAGTTATAACACACTTTTTTATTTGCTTTTATGGAATTTACCAGAACTCATTAGTATTTTTAAGATCCTGTCTTCACTGCATCATTGTAATGAAAATGACCTCCACAGGGTTTCCCCAAATGTTTAAGCCATGTAATTTTTTAATAAAATAGAAGTAACAAGAGTTCCAGTATTATTGAATTTATACAAAAGGGAAAAGCTAATACTGTTAAAGGATCCAATCCTTCCATAGCTAAAGGTGAAGTTAGCCAGAAAAACCAATTTTCAGCTACCGCAGCTTCACTAGAAATAAATCAATCCAGTCGGAATTACTGGAATGCTGGTGCCACATCACATGTGGCATTTGAGACAGGGAAACAGACAAGTCAATAGAAAATGTCATGATCACTTTTCAAAAAACAATACTAACAGTGGTTTGGTTTGTCATGTCTACAAAATAGGCTCTTGTAAGAGCTTTAAACTTTACTTCGTGAAGGTCCATGTAAGAATCAGAGAGGATTTAAAAAGTTAGCATAAATATACAACATTTAAGACATAACCACTTTTTAAAAACCACATATATAAATAGACATTTTGTAAACGATTGCCAACTTTCACAAGCTATAAATCAGTGCCTGACTTTCACAATAAGCCAAAAATCAAACTAATCCTGGTTCAAAATAAGGCCAAAACAAACCAACCTCTAAAAGAACCACAACGCTCTATGTGACTACATCTTCCTGGT